GGGTTCGGCTCGGTGGTTTTTGGCTTGAGATGGAGCTCTGAGAGTGACTAAAGTCACCCAGGGAGGAAACTTTCCCTGTGCTGCCTCCGCATGCCTTGGTTACAAAGGGGATTCTCCCTCTGGAGCAGGAGCTGCTGCTCGGTTCCCAGAGACGGGGGGCTTTCTTGCAAGTGAGCTTCCAGGTTTCCAGTTCGTGCATGCTGGCAAATGGCCCTGGAGCCTGCAGTGAGGCAGTGCCCACCTTCCTGGGGAGCAGGGGTGGAACGGGGCCAGCACTGGGCGAGGGAAGGGAGGCTGGAGGAGTGCTGGGACTGTTGTAGAGGGGATTTCAGAGCTGGAGAAAACATGGGGAATGAGGGGGAAAAGAGCAGAGCTGATACCCCTGTGGAGACCACCCATGTTAATGCTGTTAGATGACTCCCAGCCCTTGTGCTTAGGGGTAAATTGGCTTGAGGGATTTGTGCTGTATATCATATGGGTGACACCAGGATCTTGACTGGATTTAACAGGAAGAACAAGGGGTTTTCCCTGGTATGTGACAAGTGGCAGAGAAACGTTCCCTGTCCAGGAGGTGTGAACCACGTCAGCAGGGTGTGCTACAACCTGCCTGTCCCATCCCTCTCCGGATGCCGTCCTGGCTCTGGCCAGGCCAAGCGCAGGGAGTGTCTAGAGGCACTGCTGACGTGACAGTGTCCAAGTCCTGCCTGCCCCTTCCCTCTCAGGGCCCCTGGCTGTCGTGCCCACCTCAGGCTGCTTCACACAGTGCTCTGCGCTGAAGGGCCTTGCCTTCCCCAGGGAACCATGGCAGAGAAGATCCTGGTGACTGGCGGAGCTGGCTACATCGGCAGTCACTGTGTGCTGGAGCTGGTGGAGGCTGGCTATGTCCCTGTGGTGATAGACAACTTTCACAATGCCATCCGAGGTACAGAGAGCCTTCATCCCTTCCCACACAAGGAGCTCGGCCCCTCTCAGCCTGTGCTGGGACCTCCAGCTATTCCAGTGCCTCACCCCCTTCCATCTCCCCAGGGGTAGACACGCTCCCTGAGAGCCTCCGGCGTGTGCAGCAGATCGTGCGCCAGCCCATCCTTTTCCAGGAGCTAGATATCACCAATGAGGCAGCACTGCAGGAACTCTTCAGTAAGGTGAGAGCAAGAGCTGCGGTGCCCCAAGGTGGCCTCGTGGGGTCCAAGGGGTGAGAGGGGTTTGTGCTGGGGTGGGAGCCAGGAAGGAGACATGGACTGGGCAGGAACTCAGCAGAAAGGAAAGTGCTGAGGAAATGCTATGACCACCAAACATTCCTCTGGGCCATGGAGACCACACAGGCTGCCTGAATGAAACTACCGGGGAGACTTCTGACTGGTTTCTGCCTGGAGCTTCTATCTGCTATTGCTGTAGCACTAACACCAAGCTCTTTCTCCCTCTGCAGCACCATTTCTCAGCCGTGATGCACTTTGCAGGGCTGAAGGCAGTGGGGGAGTCTGTGCAGAAGCCGCTGGAGTACTACAGGGTCAACCTCACTGGGACCATCCGGCTGCTGGAGGTGAGCGGGGCCGGGAGGCGCTAGGGACACGACTGTCCTCCTGTACTCAGCACTGGTGAGGCCGCACCTCGAGTGCTGTGTTCAGTTTTGGGCCCCTCAGTACAAGAAGGACATTGAGGTGCTGGAGTGTGTCCAGAGAAGGGCAACAAAGTGGTGCAGGGTCTGGAGCACAAGTCTGATGAGGAGCAGCTGAGGGAACTAGGGTTATTAAGCCTGGAGAAAAGGAGGCTGAGTGGAGACCTGATTGCTCTCTGCAACTAATTGAAAGGAGGTTGTAGCCAGGTGGGGGGGGGGTTGGTCTCTTCTCCCAAGTAACAAGGGATAGGACAAGAGGAAACAGCCTCAAGGTGTGCCAGATTGGAGATTAGGAAAGACTTCTTCACAGAAAGGGTTGTCAATCACTGGAACAGGCTGCCTAGGGAAGTGGTGGAGTCACCATCCCTGGAGGGATTTAAAAGATGTGTAGATGTGGTGCATAGGTACTGGTGGACTTGGCAGTACTGGGTTAACAGTTGGACTTGATGATCTTAAAGGTCTTTTCCAACCTAAGCAACTGATTCTGACTGGCACTGGGTGTGATCCTGCTCTGGGGTGGCTGTACTGGCTGGCAGCCTGGACACTGCGGTGCTCCCAGGGCTGTAACGGTGCTTTTGTGATGGGAGCTGCTGCCTGTGGAGGACTGAGCTGCACAGCCGAGCTGGAGGGTGCGCAGCTCTCTGGCTCAGTGGTGGCTGCTCCTTGCTCCCCAGACCATGAAAGCCCACGGCGTGAGGAACATCGTGTTCAGCAGCTCTGCCACCGTCTATGGAGACCCCAAGTACCTGCCTCTGGATGAGAACCACCCAGTTGGAGGCTGCACCAACCCCTATGGCAAATCCAAGTACTTCATTGAGGAGATGATTCGAGATCTCTGCAAAGCAGAGAGGGTGAGGAGCTGCACTGAGACATGCGGGGCTGGGGACCGAGGTCTTTTCCCACTGGACTGTGCTGGGGTGGCCAGGCAGCACCGCACAGCACTATACCCTCCCCAGGCAGCCAGTTTGTGTGTCTCCCTAGGACTGGAACGCTGTTCTCCTGCGCTATTTCAACCCCATCGGTGCCCACGAGTCAGGCATGATCGGAGAAGATCCTCAGGGGATCCCGAACAACCTCATGCCCTACGTGGCACAGGTACTGCCCCGCTGCAGCCTTTGTGGACCCCCTGTGTGGGGCACGGGCTGACGGGGCTCTCATGCGCTTCTCCCTCTGCGCAGGTGGCAGTGGGACGCCGGGAATTTCTGAGCGTGTTCGGGAATGACTACAAGACGGAGGATGGAACAGGTGCGTCGCAGAACGGGTGGAGCAGGGACAACCCGTCCCCTGGGGCAGCCAGTGCAACTCCCCAGGCCAGCCATGCCCTGGGCAGGAGGGCTTTGCGCTCACCCTCTGTGTCCCCGCAGGTGTCAGGGATTACATCCACGTTGTGGATTTGGCCAAGGGCCATATCGCTGCATTGAAGAAGCTCAAGGAGAACTGCGGCTGCAAGGTACGGAGAAGGCCGTTGTCTGGGGTGGGGCTGGGCCAGGGTCAGGGTCAGGCTCTCGCAGCCCTTGGGGAGCTAAAAGGGGGCCTGGCTTTTCTCCTCTTGTGAAAGAACCTGACCCATGTCCTTTATCCTCTTCCCAGATCTACAATCTGGGCACAGGCACTGGCTACTCCGTCCTGCAGATGGTCCGGGCCATGGAGAAAGCCTCGGGGAGGGAGGTAAGGTCTGACATGCAGCCTGCAGTGGCTTCCACAGGCTCCCTCTCACCTCCCAAGCTGTCACTACCCTGGCAGCCCTTGTGCCTGTGTCTGCAGTAGCTGCTGGCACTGCTCCCTCTGTTGCTGGGCTGTGGATCAGTCCCCTCTGCTGAGGGCCAGGAACCCCCAGACCCCACTCTGCTGCTTTCCCTGCAGATCAAGTACAAGATCACAGGCCGGCGGGAGGGAGATGTGGCCTCCTGCTATGCCAACCCGGCACTGGCCGAGCGTGAGCTGGGCTGGAGAGCTGCCTTTGGCCT